TTGCCAGCCACAATCGAGGTTCTTTTTCACAGTTTCTACAAAGAAATGTGGGCTAAAGGTATGCAGTCTGTTTTCAGCCATGAAGGTTTTCTTTCATTTCCAAAAGAAGAGGGGAAAAAAAGGAGGGGGGATGCTACTTCCCTGCTTTACTGACAAAGTTAGAGGAGGTGTCCGTCCTGCTGAAACATGGACTGAGTCACTTCTATGAGGCAGCTGAAGCACAAGTGACCAAATGAAGTGCATCAGTAAATCAGAAGCTAGTGGGTGCCATTAAAAGCACGGTGTGTTTATTTCTCTGTGGGGCAGTGACCCACTCTTAACGGGCTGTGAGCTAGGCTAATAGCCATAAAAAAAAAGCCAGGGTACAGCTCTGCGTAATTCAGACAATAATCCTGTCTGACTGATGCTTAAAGACTCCGAAACAACACGCAACGGCCCTACAATGCTGCAGAGTCACTCCACCATCTGCTGCTGCGACCCCCGTGAATCCACAGCCGCCAGCGCTGAAACGCATCCACCGCTGTGCATGGGAAAAGAGCCGCTTTAAAAAATATTAAGTGGAAAAACGTTAAGACAAAGAAACATTCCTTTGATGTATTCTTTTTGAGTCATACCAAATCAAGCCCTGCACATTAATCATTCATGGTTGCATCAAGCCTCGCACAGAACATTGCCAGGTACAAGCACCTCCCCCCCAATTATGCACAAAAAAAACCCAAAAAACTATTCATCCAATGCTTTGAAGGTTTTACAGTAGGTTTGTGGAAGATGGAAAGTCTCTTCAGGCCCCATTGCCCTGCAGAGCCGTTTAACACAGCATTACAGAAGAGGAGCAGCCTCAGCTACCAATTACATAAGGATTACTCTGGGGGGGGGCTTTAGTAAACAATACTGCATGAAAACGCAGACGGGAGGAGGCTCTCACTGAGCACGCTCTGACCCTCTACAGCTACAACTGAACAGGGGCTAATTTACTACACAAGGCAATCCAGGCAAATCTCAGCACCAACGGATTGATTTCTGATTGGCTACATCATTCTTGAATGATAAACACCCAGAACAATTACAGACGAAAAGGAAAAACTATAAGCGACTAACTTTGTCGTCCAGGAATAAACACAATGCAGCGCTGCCTTATGAGTAACCACTGTAACTGATTTGGTGGACTTTTTAAAGGAATAGTACACCCAAAACATGATTAGCCTTCATTTTCTACTCACCCCCATGCTGAACAAC